GTAGATGCGATTTGTTGCTTCAAAAATAGATCCTCCTCCGTTTGAGCATTTCTGGTTGTCTGACAACACGAACGGAAGCAATCAATTCATCCTTTGTTTGAGAATTCTAGCTAAGATTTTATAATCGAAGTTTAAGAGTGAAATTGGCCGATACCCCTTTTCACTTTTGTCATTTCCTTTCTTTTTAACTAGCACCAAGATTCCATCATAGAATCGCATTCCCTTGTAATGCATCATTGATGACATTAGTGAACTCGTGTCCAATTATCCTCCATGCCTTTAGAAAAAATCTTTTGTTAGCCCATCGGCACCCGGCGATTTTCGAGAGCAGCTGCCTTTAATTGCTACTAGAACTTCGTTTTGGGTTGCTTCTTGCATCAGGTTTTCATTTGCAGGGTTATCCTCAGGGATTGCTCTGGCTGGTATAAAGTCAACAGGTTGTTCATCGTCTACTGAAGAGTATAAGGTCTCGAAATAGCATTTGTCTCTTTTATTTGGGTTTGATTTGGTTTCCCGAACTTCGGTGTCATCTTCTGTCTGCAGCATCGAAATAGAGGTTTTTGATTTTTTACTATGGATTTGAGCAACATGGAACAAAGTTGTTGATTCTCCGGAGATAAAAGTTTCATTACTTTTTCGAAAATTTGTTGAAAATTTGTTTTGCAGACGAAGCATTTGAGATAAAGCTCTATCGCATCTTTGAACTCTCGATGAATGATAACACCTTAGACAAAATAATAACAACGCATGACTTCTGACCTTTTCTTCGATTAAAAGACGTTTTTTCAGTAATAAGACATATATAAGTAATAGGATAAATGGATGTAATGTCGGCCTAAATGCCCCTAATTTGGGCCCATACATAAATTCAACGATCGACTTAATTTTCAATAGCGACCAAAAACATCCATTAGTACCGTCCCAATGACGCGTTCATCTAGATAAAATTGATAAATAGCAAATTGTTAGCGATGGGCCCAATCTTAGATCCATAGGCCAATATTAGAGCCATTTCCCCTAATAACCCAAAATGATCAATCTTGCAAAAATTAAAATAATTACAATTTTAGTGTAGTTAAATTAAAAGCACAGAAGTGGTATTAAAAAATGTTTCAAGTGATAATTATCAAATCTCACGTGTCCCTTCCCGAGCAAAGATGTAGATCAAATTGAAATCAAAATTTGCTGTTATAATGTAACTTATTTTGACTCCAGTTGATCTCATTTTGTTTGACGGTTAATACAGCAAAAATGAGAGCAACATTTTAAACTGTTGAATCAAACGGAAAACTAATCCTGCTTTCAATGAAATCAATTTGATTACTGATTTTGCATTCATAATGTTTAACTAAATACGGACCTTTTGTAAATGGTTCTCACGCTGAAAGACTTGTGCTCAAATCTCACCCCGCACAAATCACGAATGACCTAAAATGTGTTAAACAAAACAAATAAATAATAATCATTAGTTCAACAACCGATGAACTTAAATTAAATTTTAAACAAGATGTTAACATCAGAACTACAACTTAAGTTGCTTTTATTAAAAAGTCTTGACTACATAATGAAAGCACAATATGATATAAGACTTATGTCGCGACAATTGAAATCAAAATGAGTTTTTTTTTATGATAGGAACTGCAACAATAAAACGATGCCTCCTTCCTTATAGGTTTCTTAATTGTTAACTAATAATTAGAGCACGTTAAATATTCAAAAGTACCATCACATCCCGTTTTTGTAGATATGCTCATTATGCATTATGCTCAACTCGTCCCGTACCTCTAAAATATGCTACCTTTGTCAACCAATCTGAATACTGTTTTTTAACTCAACATTGAGCCTGTTAAGGTTGGCAATCAAAAGAATAAATAAATCAAGTCTAGCCCCTCCTTACTTATTTATTTATTTCGTTAAGCAAAAGTAGACTACATACAATGGCTGCTATGTTTTACATACATACTATGCATTATATCTATTATGTTTTAGTCGGGTTTTAATTTCTTCTTTTGACACAGTGATGCTAATAAAAAAAACTGCTATTATTTTGAACAATTTTACCTGGTGTCTCACTTTCCGGCAGGGGCTTCCAAAAATGTAATATTTTGTAATCGTAAAATTGAACATATTTCAGCTCAATTGTTCATAAGTTAACAAAGTTACATCATGTCAAAGTTGACCATTTTGTATGAAAATCGGCATGCGCTGCTATTTTATCAAACACAACTGTAGCTCCGGAACCAGCAGAACAATTTAATAACGTTCTATGGGACCATGGTGTCTTTCTACTGTTCAATATTATGCTAAACTAATGCAGCATCGTCATGGCATTGTGACTGACTTGCGGTTATTTTTCTAATTGACATTAAATGTAATCACAAGTTAATGATTTTGGTCTTAAAATAAAAATTTCACGATAGTTTATCCTATATGTTTTCCCAAACATAGATGCATTCTATAACATTGCACGTTATCCCTCCCAAATAAGCGTAAAATGAGAAAACTTGTAAAATCTTGGAACGCCGTTTTCGTTTACACCTGAAGTCTTTTTTTACACGGTTTTTTTACGCGATTTTTTTACACGGTTTTTCGCAATTTACACGGTACGTTTTTAACTATTTCTCGACAACGATACAACCTATCGACTTGATTCCAACAACATTACCCGTTTCAAGCTACAGGTAATCGAATGGCATACTCATTCAAGTAGGCTGCGCTGAAAATCTGACGTGTTGTTTTTTCAGCTGCGTTTCTTCCTTCCGGAAATTGAACAATTATAGTTTCAAAATATTTTAAAGTATGTGTCAAAACTTATATCCAATCATCCAAGAAGTGATCAGTGTTGATTTTGCGTCGGTCGTTGTGTTTTTTTTTTGTTTTTTTTTTCCTTTATTTGGTTGATGATCCGGTCAAAATCTTTCGGAGGCCGTTTGCCCAACCTGCTACCAGAATCAAACATCAAAGTGCATTTATTCACAAGCTGCTTATTCATCTCTGTCTACGGCTCTTTGTGAGACAACTGGCTCTGATCATCGCTAATGTGCAATCTAAAAATGTACCTACACTTGAAGGATCGGGGCTGGTAAAAAAGACCTGAGTGTATTGCAGATGGGACTGACGGTTATGGGCAGTTATGCTTTTTTATCTTTCTTTATTAAAGAGACTTTCAGCCGTCGACTGGTTAATCTCTGGGAACCCCATCCCAGTTATGCTATTGTATAGGTAACCAATGTTCGAATCAGAAAAAAATAAAAATAAAAAGCGGTCATAAAATCTCATTATGTAACATAAAAATATTATATTTTTTTGCTAGCTTTGCCGACACTACCATAAGTTACCCACTATGTTAACCCCTATGTATTTTATTTTTTCAAATATGTTGCCGTGCGCCGCATGAGAACTTACTAGCTAAGTGATTTATACACATTTCTACAAAATTAACTGTCACACGTTGTGGTTTAGAGACGCGGCCCATATTGCCCCATATGTCCATCTTTTCCCACTTTCCCCTGGGTTATAAGGTATCGTTTTATAAAAATAAATATTTTAAAGCTGTGTTTGTTACAACTTATTTTTATTCTACTGATGGTAGGTATTTAGATGTACTAAACTGAGTAATATTTTTCATCAAAATTGGAAAACAACATATTTAAAAAAAAAAACTTTTCTTTATGTGCTCTTCCTGCCCGGTCTTCTTGGGTGTCTGAGAGCAGCGTAAAGAGTTACAGTTTTAATTTATTTTGTAAAAATTAATGTTTCTTAACCATAACAATCTTTAGGCGCTAGAACAGACATTAAAGAACCAGAACAAATTATATTTTAATGTATGAATTGCGGTTATCGCCCCGTCCCCTACCATTCTTCATTGATCGAATAATATGAAATCTTTTCTCAGCATTTTCTTCAAATTCTCAACATACAGAAGCATGCTAGATTTCACCAAATTATTATTTACCGATTCTGTGTCGTCTTCGTTATCTCCCTCTTCTTACGTTGCCTTGTTTCAATTGATGTACCTTGACTTCCACTGCAAAAGCCGTTTTTCTCCTTTGATGCATTTATGTTACACATGTGAGTAATCGTCATTAGTTTCTTCCTTTCATCAATCCGTCTTCATGCGCTGCGTTGTAGAGATGAAAAAAGGTTACAAATAATGCAACCATAAATGAGGCATATGGCACACGCCGCGAGGGTCTCTGTGTCCGTCGTGTCGTGTCGGTGATGGAATGGAATAATGTTAACGAAGAAAAATGTTTACCGCGACTGCTCTTGTGGAGGTTATTGTATGCGGAGAGAAATGACTCCCATGAGAACTGCAGCAGTCAAAGAACAAGGAGTGTTTACGACGGGCGATTCTATACAAGAACACGATTGCCGCCGATTGTGGTGAAATGGGACTGGAACGGAAAAAAGCACTTTTGCTCACAACTCACGAAGGAAGTTACATGGAACCCGATTAGTTATCCCGATCGTGTGGCAGAATCTTGGAAAAGCATAAAAAGTGTAGAAATAATAAGTTTTACAAATTGTGTTTTCACGCATCATATGTCACTAACTGGTGGTAATCAGTGTGTTTATCCACTGATGGTTTGTCATATCTATATTTCGCCGTATGTTATTTTCTTACGATTTGTCTTTGATGGTTTATGATAAATGTAGGCTCAATTGAACGAGGTGGACCTTTTACGGCCTGCGATTGAAGTGACCGGTACACATGAAGTGTGTTATTGAAACAATAACAGATTAAAACATACTTAATTAACTATAAAAACTACAAACGACTAACACGACATGACGATTACGATTCTCCTGTTGTGCATCAAACCGATAACAGGTCAAAGTTGCAACCAGTGAGTAAAGCGGTTTTTGTGTTGGTGAAGAGAATGTAGGGATTTTCAATTGTTCCCAACTGGAAACCTTCAAATATTAAACACCTTTATGCTCCGTAGACAAAAAGCAAACTTTTCCTAATTTTCGCCATTCAATTTCTCCCTTTACAGCTCGATATGACAGACTTCTACGACGATGATTACGATCTAGATACCGAGGATGACGATCAAGGTTCGGTCGAATCGTTTGCCGACGGCGATGACAGTGGCAACGGTGAGTCATAACAGACTAACTAATCTAGGGTTGGTTCCGTTTAATTTACTATATATTTGTAACTGATTGAAGCTGACCCGAGAAAACAAGCAACAAAAAAAGCTGAAAATGAAAATAATAAAAGCTGATTAGAACAAATCACTGAGATGGTTTTATCAGATAAAAACGATTTTATTACTCCTGTGTATAACTATTGGAAAAATATTGTTTGCTTTTTAACCATTGGCATCGGCTGAACAAATGACTAGAATGAATCCAATCATTTCAATGCTGAAAGGAAGGAATTTGTTATATCATAAGAACTATGACCGATTACAATGACTTAAAATCAATTTGAGTTATTTACTGTCTCTATAAGAATACATCATTTTTTTACGTTCCATGAGCGACGTATTGTTTATTGTAAACAATCAAAATTTAAAACTGATGAGCTAACGGAATGTAACAATAGAAAGAGAATCGAGTAGATCAAAAAATCATTCACGTACTTTGAGATGCTTTGAAATTGGGTTTAAGTTTTCAGAATGTTCTGCAATAGACAACTTAGGCAACTAGACTACTGTAGATGGTGTAAGAATAAAATAATGTTCACGAAACAACATGTACACCAATGGTAGACGCAGAATCCATGAACAGGAATAGGGATTAGGAATAACAAACATGCAGTAGCCGCAATTAGAGTATCCGGGTTATTCCTACCCATTTAAATTGTGACAGTTTCTTCGAAACGCGTACTTTCCTATTAAAGCTTATGTCTAAAACATTTTTCTTCCTCGATCCGTACATTGTTTCTTTTTTTTTGTTAAATAGATTTTCATGCCATTCTGTGCATCATTTCTTCCATGTCAACGCATCAATAAGTTTATTTTCTCATGCAAAGTGCAGCGAATTTTCGAAGCAATATATAGTGGTAAAATATTCAACACATTGAAAACTTAATGTCTAACAAAAGCATAGAAACCGAAATGCAACCCAACTTATTATCTCGATCTTTCTTTCTCATAGTGAGTAGTATTAAAATTACATCGCGTAAAGCATCATTAAATAAAATGGAAGGCATGTCCAAGCGGTACTTTAAATTCTCTTCACTTTTTTTTTATTCTTGTTTTTGTATACAGTTAGGATAGATCTATTGATTTAACATAACCAGAAATACAAGAAATTATTTTATTTTTACATATAAATGGAACATTTTGGTGTTTCTAGAGTATCCGAATTGTCCTTTGGTATAATGTCAGAGAGGTTTTCACGGCATATTTGTCTATCTTGAGCTATCCTCTTCCAGTCGTCCTGATTATATTCCGTCCCACTCACACAACTATCATGAGCACCTTCAGTGGCGCGTAGGGCTTACTTGAAATATTTCCATACTTGGAAGATGCTTGCTGAATTTATGTCGACTTGCTTGATTTCTTTGTTGAGGCCGGCCGTGGATCTGCCCCTTCTCTGATATCCTACCCTACCAATCCAATCGTACGTTTCCGCCCACCTCTACTTTCGTTTTCGAATTTCTGTTGAAGTAGGCTTTGATAACATCGACGATTTAGCTCAACATTCGAGATTCTATGAGGTTGAAACATAGAAGGCTGAAATGATGGAATTGATGACTCATAAGATTGAAATGACAAAAGGCTGAAAACCAAAAAAGTATTGCAAAGTGAACTATACCAAATGTAGGGGTAACTTCATAATGACATAATGAGTATGTCAAGAATCGCGGTTAGTCGATGGTAGTGAAATGTGGAATTAGTAACTCCTGACACTCGTAGGGATCCTGCCAATGTCTACTGGATGTCTCCTTAATGTTCCGTTTGAGGTAAAGTCAGTTTACTTCTTCCACGAAGATCGAAGTAGGTCGCGCTGGAAAGTTGACACGTTTTTAATTTTGCTGCAGATTTTCATTTGGTGATCATGTTAATAAACTTCCGATTGTTCAATTGTTCAAAATCTCATTGACGGGATCGAAATAGATTAGACCATGGCGGGTGATAAGTGAAAAAGGAAGATCCAGGAGCGGTGTTTGTTGGGAGCTATCTTAGCTGATGGGCAACGAATATCCCAAGATGATCACGATGGTGTGAATGCAGCAGGCTTATAGTGATACCGAGAGATGCCGGACTGTTGCATTTGATGCATCTCTTTCCGAGGGCTGGTAACGAATAGCGGTTTTCCAAAATCAAGATCCAAGAAACTTTTCTGATCTGTATTCGGGAGCTTCAAGGATTAGTCGGGTGAGGGGTGAGATCCTTCCTTTTTATTTATTTAGCTCGTAACATTATGTCCCATATTAATTTCACTAATACAGTACTAAGAAAACAAATTGAAGAACTCGGCTAGCTTAGCAGCTGCTGCGTTTGCTTACTGTGCATAAGATCGTGGGTTTATTATCAAATGCCTAAAAAAAAACAATCATATGCTTTTGGTTGTACCGCCTGGTTGAGGCGAAACCTGACCTAATACCGTACCCCAACTCCGTAGTGCTTATGAGGGTGTCACTAATTCGGTGGCCTCTCGTTGAGTAGGTACTACATAAACATTAACTTTCCTATCCCTAGTTACAGTAAATATAGGCACACAAAAGGAAAAGTTTGCGAGTCATTGTGAGTTTTAACGAACTTTTCATGTAGATTGATTAGAGACCCGTTTTTTAGTTTCTTTAGTTTCAGCTCAGTTTAGTTTAGTTTCAGAACGCGAGTAATGGCGCTATAACCATAAGCCATATAGGGCTAAGACAAGAGTTAGTGCTCATGTACCAACCACTCGAGGAAAATGGAGCATAATTTAACTTTTTTTAGATTAGATGCTCCCAACGACCAATCATTTATAACAACGGAACGTACGGTACGAGATGTCCACGTTTCATCCATTCATTGGATTCTGAAGCACCGTGTTTAAATCTTTGATTTAAACAGGCCCGATGTTTCTGAATCATCTTGCCCCTTAAATGCTGCACAGTAGGCCTGGCCATTTTGATATATTTTGCGCATCTCTGATGTATAAAATATACCAAATAGACAAGAAAAGTGATGGAGGTATATCTATCATTTTCCAGGATGCTTTCATGAACTGGCTGTGTTGGTGTTAAATTAGATTAGATTAGATTAGAAGTCAGGATTACTTCTTCCACAAAATAACGTACTCGCAACTTGGGTAAAACAACGAACTTATAAACTTTACATTTATTCCACAAGCAAAGTCGGTTAACAAAATGAAAGCAAATCGATATTAATGTTTGCAGTTCCTAGCATAATAAAAACTCATTTTGATTTCAATTGTCGCGACAGAAGTCTGATATCATATTGTGCTTTCATTATGCAGTCAAGACTTTTTAAATCAAAGCAACTTAACTTGAAGTTCTGCTGTTAATTTCTTGTTTAAAATTTAATTTAAGTGCATATGTCGTTGAACTAACGATTATTGTTTATTTGTTTTGTTTAACACATTTTAGGTCATTCGTGACTAGCCCGAGGTGAGATTTGAGCTTAAATCTCTCAGCGTGAGAAACATGGATGCTAACCATTTACGCCAGGCCCGTATTCAGTCTAAACATTATGAATGCAAAATCAGTAATAACATTCCCTCCCCTTGGCTAGTTTTTGCACCTTGCTGTTGGTGGGCGGGCTTAATTTCATGCTTTATAGTGGAGTGTTGGAGACGGTAGGTTTATGGTCGGCGTTGCTGGCTCATGCCGCGATAGAATGGCGACATGGGCAGGCGATGGGGATTACTAAGCTTCCCCTCTCTGATAAACCGCTGCATGAGAGAACCAAAGATCTAGTCTAGCAGTGATAGTATCACACTTGTTACTCCTTTTATTGAGAGCCGCGTCGTAGTACGCTTACGTATAGGCACTGACGTTGGGTGTGATACTGGCGGGTTTTGCCGCAAATCACTCTTATTTTATTTATTTTTTACGCAGATAGATTTATTTGGGTTTGCAAGGGAATTATACTATTGAAATATTTCAGAAAGTGCCCAACAGTGCTCCTTCTATTTGCGTGACAAGCTTTCATTGTTGTTTTCATTGAAGTATTACTCAGAAAACAATGTTAAACATCATTTTTGTACATGGTATTGTAACTAATCTTATATGTGCTTCATTTTGATTTGGGATAAGTGTTTGATTTATGGCTCGGGATTTCCACTGCGGTGTGCTTCTATTGTGACATACCCATATGTATTTTTGTGGGGCCACATAGTGGAAACGTGAGAGCGTAGTTGGAACATTTACCCTATGTTTAATGTTCTTCGAATCGACGGCAGTAAGAAGTCAACCTACCCTACTTCGACCGTACACAGCAATCTGATCGTTTCGGTGAGTGACGAACCCGCAGTCATCGAGCACCCACCGTCAGTGGGCACCCACCATCATCGAGCACCCATCGTCATCGTTTTTGTTCGTCATGTATACGAAGCCGGCTAACAGTAACGAAACTGTGGAGAGTCTCTCTTGGGTTTATTAGTTGTAAGATAGTATGTATAAATTTGTGCACACATTAAAATATACATATCAGTTTCCATAAATACGTCCATGAGTTCAGTCCAGTTTAATTGTCCGCTTAGCCAGAGAAAGCCGGTAACACGAGGCTCCACTAACTCGAGGAGCCGGACGGTGTCGACGTCTCGTACATAAAAATCAAATATAGTGTCGACGTCTCGTACACCCTATACAATATACAATTTAAAATTAGCTTGGAAACTAACTTCAAAGTGAAGCATTTTAGTCACTTGAAGGTGTCATCTGGGACGAACAAAGATATAAGATAAGATATGTAAAAGCCAGAAGTACTTGAAACACGTTAAATTGTAATTTAAAAGCATGGGTTATGTAGGTAGATTAGAGATTTCAGTTATTTATTAAATAAACTTCAATTATAGAATTCAGAAAGTTAATTAACATAAGAGATAGGACGCGGGGGGTCCGCTTAGGGAGGCGACTAGCCTATGAAGTTGTATAATAAATCTTCCTATTTAGTGTATTTGTTAATTACAGACAATGTCAATAGCGAAAGTCATATCTTCAACCAGGCGCTTACGAACAAGTGAAATTTTAGGAAAGATGTGTTAAATATGTTGATAGGTTTGAAATAAGAATTAGGATTGTTGTGCTTTAGTTTTCGGTAAGGTATGATGTGTCAACAAAGCCCTTTTGAGCAAATTTTCAAACATCAAATTGATTGAGTAATTTATTGAAAGACATTGCGTTGCGAAAATTGACAAGTCATACATCTAACATAGTAGTAGTAGCAGTGTCGCATAATCTTATCACAATTGCTGCAAATAGTGCTTGAGGGGCCAGCAGGGCTGAATACGGATCAAAACTAACATAACTACTAACACTAAAATGATCCCGGAACTAACACTTATCCATTGCACTTTTAGCTATTTATTAGTTTTATTTTTCTACTAAGTCATCTACAGTGGGGGAAATTCGTTTAAACGCAATGTCATTTTTGCGTTTATTTTCAACACAAAAGATCGAGACAAAAATTCAAATATAGTTTGTCATAGCCCATCAGAAGTCTCGTATTTGAGAACACAATTTGATTGGAAGTTCATAATGACTTTTGAAAAAATCCCAAAAAAGGTGATTTTGGGGGGGGAAATTCGTTTAAACGCACTTTTAGTTTTATTAATCAAATCGAGTTCACAGTTCAAAAATCAACAATAAACAATAGTTAATACTTCGTTTGCTTTCCGTTTTTCTGAATAGTTTCGAAAATTCTGTTCGGCATTGATTTCACCAGCTTCTGCAGAGTTGTATCAGGTATCAAGCTCCAGGCTTCTCTTACGGCTGACTCAAGTTCACGAACTGTTTTAAACTGCCTTCCGCCTTTGTAAACCTGTCGTGCCAGGATGCCCCACAAGTTCTCGATAGGATTTAGATCCGGACTACGAGCTGGCCAATCCAAAAGACTGATGTCTCGTTCAGAAAACCATTTCAAAGATTGCTTGCTGACATGAATTGCTGCATTATCCTGTTGAAATACGAAATTTTCCGGCATAACGTCTTCAGTAAACGGGATCAAAACATCTTCCAGAAGCTCCAAGTACTTTCCCGAATTCATCCTGGTTGAAATGGTGGCAATAGGGGTCTTTCCATGGATCGAAAAAGCGGCCCAACACATTAGAGTACCACCTCCAAAGTTCCTGCTCAACTTAACCTGCGGAGATTTCCTCAAAT